ATAATTTTAATTTTTTCAAATTATTTGCTAGGTTTTGCTGCATTATAAAAATTGAATTTACTCGGATGAATGTGAAATAGTGGTAGAAATAAATATTATGTTGGAAACGGGAGTCAATAAGTGATAACCGAAAACAGGTTACTGCAATAATCGGTAAGCTTATGAACCATAGATTTAACCCTATCATATATATGAACATACACATATGTATATAGTAAATAAAATATTTATTTAATTTTTATATTTTTTATTAAAATGTGCATTTTTGTAAGTAATTGAAATTCCAAAACAATTTTCTGAAATTTGATTGTTAAAAAAAATACCTCGAGATTGTAAATAGCGCAAAATATTTAATTATTCATCAACATTTATTTTGTCGCCTTAAAGGTAATTCGCAGCAGATACAATTATGCCAACGATATTTCTTAACAATTCAATTAAAAATATTTCTGGTTCGCGAAACCCTTTTCATAAGCAATTTTGGGGAACAAGGAAAAATTACACGGAGCCAATTTTGTTGAAAACTGTGGTTGATCGATGGTATTTGTGGCTCGATGCCAGGATGGATTTTTTTCGTGAAAAATATATGAATTTTTCTTCCACAATTCTGACCGTTTTCGCCGGATATTTTCACGCTATAGCCTAAATACGGCTAAACATAAATCCGTCTGTCTCGCCGGGACAAATTTATGGTGCAGCAAACAACATTGATTTTTGAGCGGACTTGGCGTGATTGTTTTGGTTTCGGCTTGTTTTCCCGATCCATTAAGATGATTCTTGACTTGTTTGCATGTCAAACTCATAAATCCATGTCTCATCGGCAGTTATAATGCTCCTCATGAATGTGGGATCGGGATTCGCACGATCAAGCTTGTCGAAAGAGACCTGTTTACGGTACTCGTTTTTATCGAAACGAGTCGGGCAAGAACGCGGTACTCAAGCTCTCTTGCCATCTCTCTAACACTTGCCTGATGACTTTCAAGCAACATATCTTTCACATTTTTAATATTTTCATCATTCGAAGGTTGAATATCTTCAACGATCACTCGAGCATCTTTGAAGGCTTTGTACCACTTGTTGGATTGTGTTTTTGATAACACTGAATGACCATAAGTGTACTTTCGGTAAACTTTTTGGATTGTTTTAAGAGTGTTGTCTTAATAATAAATGTTAAATTCTCGCAGCTTTACATTTTGATAGTTTTAAACCGCCATATGGTACTAAAGGTATTATTTGCTAAATTTTGCAGTATTGTGAATCGACCAATCAACACACTTTATAGAGACATTCGCATACTACTTGGGGATAGAATATAACAAGACCACACTGTTATTGCTTTCAGAAGGGGCAATCAATCATATCATATGTTGATAGAACTTAATTATATTTGAAAAAATATGTTGTAAGTAATAAAAAGTTCTGGTAAAACTACAAGGCTTTACAGATTTTCTCGAAAAAAAAATGGATTATTGCAAAACTTGTCATATTTCTTTCTCACCATACAAGCATATAAACCAAAATATATCACATTTTGAAGGAAAATCGCCCTGAGCCTATCAAGTTTTACTACTCCGGGGTTATTTTCGAAGATAAAATCTTGACCAAAAGTTTGTATCTCTAATTATGTGTATGAATATAAAAGCGGAAATATCATTATGTTTATTAAAAAATGTTAAGATGTTCAAGAGTACCTTTCTGTCAAGGCGAAAAAGTTCATTTTAATAAATATTGCTGGTAACAAACATAATAATCCATAATTATTGCCGAATAAAGCCATGCTTTTCCTCTTCACTGAATTGTGTTAAGAAACAACAATTTTCACCGTTGACTGCTTTTTCGATGTGTTGACAAATTTCTGAATATATTTTGTAATTGAAGTGCCTCTAATAACATGTTCATAGCAACAGGCCATTGCGCCGTGTATATATGTATATGTGTATATTATTTTTATACGATATTTGGATATGAATGTGAATACGTTCTTTACACACGAATGAAATATACACTTGTGTAAATATATTGGTAGATATTTTTTCTGCACCATACGACAAACAATACACCCATATGTACTTACAAACATTCATTTGTATTTATGACGACCAATAATTGGCAATCGATTGATCAATATGCCTAGCAACAATCACGACAGCAGCGAGACCTGCAAACAACAAAAAAACTTACAAAAAAAAAAACATTAACAAGAGTACAACAATAAACACACATATGCATTTTTGACAGTACACGCGTATTCATATGTGTGTACGAGTATGTGTGAGTTTATGTTTCAATAATACTGTAATTTTTGGCGCGTAGAAGAAGTTCACTGGATTTTTTATTTAGTTTTTAATTTTTGCATTTTTTCTTAATTAAATTTCTCATATGGTTTGTATTGTTGTTGTTGCTGGAGGTTATTCGCTGGTTGTGGTTTTGTTGACTGTGGGCTTGCGCTTGTTTGTGGTAGTGCTTATGCGCTGATATCGTCAATAAATTGAGAATTAATTAATATAACGAAATGACAGTTTAAAAATTTGCGCAAAAATTTGGCAAATAATAATTACTGAAATTGTGTATTGAAAAAAGAATATGCTGGAAATGGTTAACCTTTGGGAACGCTGGCGAACTATAGCAGCATGAATTTAAGTGAGCATATTGAAGATGGAGATATACATACTTTTACGATCAAATATTTTAAGAATATTTACTTTTAATTAATTAAATTTTAATTAATCTCGACATTAACT